GCCTCCGTACTGCAGTTTATTTTTATACTTTCAAAAGCCCAACGTGTTAATGCAGCAGGGAAAGTGAAAAACAAGACAGCTGGCTCTCAGACAAAACAGCAGGGGCCAGTAAAAGTATATATTTTTGACATTGTTTCCTCCCGTCTTTCAAGTGGATTACGAAAGATTCATTTCAAAGACGAGCTTTGATCCCTTCAAGTTTGTGTTAGAGTCAGAAAAATAACTGGGACAGAAAAGTTACTTCAACCCTGATGTACCACTGATGAGAGATTACTAGAAATGGATCTGGTCTACTATGTCCAAGTAAAAACTGGCACCTTCTTATTCAACATATCTGCCCCACGAGTCAGATGTGCTCATTTTACTGACGTAAACAAGTTCACTCAAGTTTGCACTGCACTAATACAGTTCAAAAGAATGAGCTCAAGTCTACTCTGTTCTGAATATAGCTCAAAGAGGGAACCCATCGCTGTCATACGATCAGCTACTTTCCATTACATTCTTTGAGTAAGATTCCCTTTACTTCATTTGCAAACAGCACCAGTCCCAGCTCTACCAATACTTAAGCCAGATGAAGAGCAACTCATAAAGGATAAGCCAAAGCAAGGCAAAAGTATTGTTGGTAGATGCAGGAAAACATGCCAACACACTACCCAGTATCACAAGCCTTGGCAACCGTCAAGGGTGTCTGCTCATAGGTTCTGAATGTGGTATATAGTTTTGGAATTCATCTTCATTTCTTATTGATACTCAACTGCTGAAACCACTGTTTCCTATATCTACGCTCCTTCCTATCAGCTGCAGGTTTGGAAGTCCATGGATTTGTCCCCTCCTCACTATGTGGGGCAAGAGACACTAGCTGAAAAAAAACAAAAAAACCCAAAACAGATGGTGGTTCAGAATGTGGTGGTTCATCTGCAAAGCTTCTTGGGTTGTGTGAGCCACAACCTGCTCTTCTAGTCACTAAACCAAGGCCCAGTGGCATGCTAGAGATCAATCACAAGGTCTGAGATGAGATGTGCCCTTATGCTGGGTAAAAGCCCTGGAGCGGTATAAAGAATCTCCAGTTCGGGCTGGAGGAGATTCCCTTGGCTCAGGTGCTGTAGTAGACAGATATGAATAAGGCTGCTTTCTAAAGCCCTGACTTGGAGGGTTTGTCAGCAGTGAGCTACAGCATGCAGGCTGGCTCAGGGAGGCTGCTAGCTTAGACAGGCCCCGGGGGTGTCTAAATCATGATAGGGCTGCTCTGGCCCCCAAAGCAGGCAGGACCTAGTGGCACCACACAGCATCTCATGGCAGATCCTGATTTTCAGAGCTTTCAGTGGGTATCCGAGCTATCTTAAAGACCCCCTATTTTGTCTTCCTGTGATCAGGATTTACCTTGAGGAACAATGAAACTATTAGCAGCAAGGGGGTGATGAAAGGGAGTAGAAGACAGAGCGCTTTCAGCTGTGCATCCAGGGCTTTAAAACTTTCTTCAATGGGAAGTTAGGAGGTTAGAGTGATCCTGCAGGATGAAAAAACAATCCGACGCTCTGCCATAACTTAAAATACAGTAAAAGCCTCTCTGCCGCCTTGTGGACAGGAGAGAAAGAACCAAAGAAAAAACTGTCATTTCACCGACTGGATTTTTGCAAACTGCTCAATCAGATACCACCAAAGTGACCAACGTGGTATAAAAGCATAGGCAAGATTAGAAAATGGCTAAAAAAAGTGCGTCACCAACAAAACTGCCTGCTAAATTCAGCTTGTAGATCCTTTATCATCAGTAATGACCTAAAACTCAGGATGCAGCTAGAATGTTCAAGTCCCGATTAGAGTGTACAGTACCAGGACTTGGGGAAAGGGAGAAGTTACATTTTGACTTAGAGCAGTGGTTTTCAACCTGTGGTGCACAGACCCCTTGGGATCCGCAGACTATGTCTCAGGAGTCTATGAAAGAGGACTATGATCAGTCAAAAGTATGTGAATACCCACACTTACAATTCAAAGGAGTCCACACCCCCTTTAAAATGTTTCCCGTTCATGAAAAAAGGTTGAAAACCACTGACTTACAGCATATGTGAGCATGAGATCAATAGAAGAGATTAAATATGGAACCCTCCAGTCTCAGTAAAACTGGGGCTGCTGGGACATATGAATGAGGCATTTGACCCAATCATCCTTCTGACCTTAACTGTTCTTTAATGTCTGTACAATCAGAACAGGGGAAAGGGAAGAGAAGGGAAATGTCAGGCATCCAAACCCTTCTTGTTATCCTCCTAAATGTGTTTAACAATCTAGATGCAAAAGGATCTCTCTCTTTTGCCTGGTCATGGAAATAAGTCCCCATGTAATTTTTCCAACAATTTGGGAGACAGACATTCTCAGACTGGAAGAGGGATTCCAGATTCCTGTTTTCTGCTCATTTTCCAAGATGATAGTGAGCAGCACTGGAGTAGTTTATAATATTTATAATACATTTACATACAGTTTATTTAAAAAATTACAGCTGAGGCCCTGGAAAAAATACCTGATTTGGTCCCAAATCAAAACACCAGATCCAAGAACTCCCAAACTTCAGGGAATTTGGAAGTGTGGATTTATGGCTCCTCTATATTTAAAAAAATTCTGCAGTGATGTTAATAGAAAATATGAATACCCACACTTACAATTCAAAGGAGTCCACACCCTCTTTCAAATTTGTTTAGGGGCCCACTCATGAAAAAAGGCTGAAAACCACTGACTGCAAAACTAGGAAGGCCTTGTGAGCATTGCTGTGGTGGCAATTACTGCTTCCCAAGACTACTTAATAATGACCGAGCCTTTTATACTGAAATGCAGACATGGTTTTCTTGTCTGCTGTTACCATCAGCACCTTTTTTAGAACTCCGTAAGTCACAAAATGATGGGTTGTTTTTAGTCTGGTGCGTGTTTACTGCTGTCAAGCCCACATAGAAGAGTAGGGGAACGAAGAAGAATGCATGGGGACAAATGAGAGGGAGAGAAAGAGCTGATTTGAATGCATTTTTGGTTCCCCTGGTCCATTACATAAATACTACCAGAACATTTTGGACCCCTTTTGTCTTTATTTTCTATTATCCTTTCCCCTTGCTCCTGTACTACATGAATACCCTCAGAAGGGATGCTAATCAGAGCCTTCTAGTGGAGTCAACCTTGCAATATGCCTAAAATTCAGCATGTGACTTCCAACCATGGCGACAATACAAGAGGAGGCATTCTTATCCCTCAGACTCAAGCCATTAATACCATGGAGCTCTTTCAATTTGCAGCAGCTCAAAGGCTATACCACGCTTTGCAGTAAACACCTCACTCACTCTTTACTCCATCTTGGTGAGATGGGAGCCCCTGGAGAGTGCAATGTTTGAGCTGACCCTGCAGTAAGTACACTCCTAACAAGGAGGCAGCTACCAATCTCCCTCAGGATTCCCACAAGTAATCTCCAGCTATGCTGATCTCCCCTGATCCTGCTCACTGGCAACAACTACCTTTTTTTCTCACCCACTTTGAGGCATCACCCTTCCATGGGAGCTGCTTCTCACCTCAAAAAAAATACTAAAGTGATCCTAATTCTGTTAACTTATGGGTGATTATTTCCCATTTAGAGAATGTTTCAAAGGCACAAATAGGAGTCAAGTGAGTAGTGAAGGGCAATGGAAGCTGGGTGTCACCTACACCTGTGAAGATCTCAAAAGCTGCAGAGCAGCAATCGCCAAAGGGGAGAGAGGGTAGTCCTTAATTCTAGGATGCTGGGCAGGAGACTCTGAAGCCCTACCATGATTTGCAGAGCAGGTGGCTTATCATGGACCACGCTCACTTACTGAAATGATATGCCCCTTCAGACCATGGGCTGAGTCTGCACACTCGATCACAGCGCTCAGCTGAGGGTAGCCCACACCTGTCTTAATCCTGGTAGTGCATACAGAACCTGGAGGAAAAGAAAAGAAGCTCATAAAGAGGGTAGCCAGTATGGCTGGTAGAAAACTTTCTGCTGATTTTTTTCCTTCCTCTACCCCATTTGAAAAATTTGGTTTTCAATTAAATCAGTGTTTTCCCTAAAAGTGCCTGCTTTCCATGGGAAATTTAGAGTTTTTTCCTTCCAAAACCAGAACATCTAAAAACTGAAATAGTCTTGATCTTGAACTGTTGCTGTGATACCTGCATGTGCACCCCAGGAGGTATCTTAATGCCCCTGCATTCTCCTCTGTAGCTGGGGCTTCCTGGTTGGACTAAATCTCCCATGATGCATCCTGGCAAGGGACTTCCATCACACACTGTTTGCCCTCTCAGAGTGGAGGGTCTGTGATGCATCATGAGAGATAACTGTAGATGGGAACAGAGATAAGAGACACCAGAACTACAACTTCCATAAGGCATTGCAAGAATATTTTCAAACTATTTTGAGAGAAATATTTTAATATTCTAATTTCCACTGCAGTCTCTTTTTCATAAGAAAAATAGAAAATTAGACAAAAGCTAAGTTCTTCTTCGGTTTGACAACATTTTCTACAGTGAGAAGAAAAAGTCACCTTTGACTAGCTCTGGTAGCCACAGCAGCAATATCTGGTTGACTAAAATGGCAGAGGACAGAAGAAAATGAGCAACCAACATTATAAAAATAAAGTAAGAAAATCTGAAGAAAATTGAGCCTTACAAAAGGTAAGAGATTCTAAACACAACCTCTAATGAATAAAAATAGAGATAATTAAAACCGCTAATACCCGATTTTCTTTCTGGCAGCTCTATAGAAGTGTTTTTAATATGTATTTTTTTTAAAGTTAAGTAAGCCTCAAACACAAAGCTGCCGCCTTGACAATCTGGTGTCATTTAGGATGCAAGCAGTGCAGCTCCTCATGACAATAGGGAGAGTTTTATAGTTGCCAAAAAGAGTCTAGGTCATACACAGCTATCCAAATCCTAGAGCCCCAGTCAGTATAGACAGGAAGATTAGTAGAGTGGCAATTTCTGCTGATCTTTCAATTAAGTAAAAATATTTAAACACTGACAGGATTTATGAAAAGTAGGTAGAAAAATAATTTTAAAATAGCCTTCACTGTCTCCAGCTATATAATGAATTACTGCATTATCTTTTAATCAGGAAGGCCCTGGCCTGAGTAAGAACATCAAGGTTTGATCTTTTGTGATGGACACTGTTACTGTTACATTTCACTTGTACTGTAGCAGTTATACCTCAATATCTCTGCTGGTATTTCACAGTCTGGGCACAACTTTCTGTGTCCTATGTTTCTGGACTCAATTGCAACCTTTACTGCATCACTTGTGCTCTAGCTGTCTGTTCATGCAGCTTATGACAAGAGTTAAAAGTAGCCTTCCCATGAGGAATTAAGAAAACTATTCCAGGTAATAAATGGAAATCTAGAGGTTCCTGGCTAGATCCTCTTGCTCTTCCACTCAGGGTCATAGTGATCATCCCAGGTCATATTAGGGGGACTGTGGAATTTTTGCCTCTTCTGTAGTATGTGGAAAGGTCCTTTTCCTTGGATATTTTGAGCACCATGTTCCTTGCTGTTGCAGTGACAAGGCACTGGTAGTGCCCTCATCTTCCTAGCCTTTACCGTTTATTTATTTCTTTGATTTATGTCTCCTTATCAACCTACTAGTGGCACATTATAGTGTTCTTGGTGTTTCACATACTGCTCCTTGAAGTCGGGAGTAAGGGTTCAAAGTGACAATTTAGGAAATTCCTTTGGTTCACGGGAGCCTGAGAACACAAGGGACCGGTCTCAATGACCCATGAAGTCCCTTCCACTCCTATGTTCCCATGTTTCAGCCTCTGAATTTCCCTAGTGTTTTTTCCATCCACAGATCTCAAAGCAGCTTGAGAAGTCACGTCAGGTGGCACTGTAGTCTCCATACAGTTATTGATACAGCATTTAGTGATTTGCACAATTCTATTTGTCAAGCAAAAGAAATCCCTGCCTACACCTTAATGACATCCATTTGAGACTTAATTGGAATGATTCAGGCTGTCCTGAACCACAGCATTTCCCATCTTGTATAGATCTTTGTCTCAGAATAATACTTTGAAATGAACAGTGTGTGCATCCTAGCACCAATCTGTCAAATATAATCACTTTCATCATGTGAATGCCTTTCAACATGTGGCAGGTAAGTGGCTGTGGCTGTAGTAAAAATAGAAACACTGATTTCTCTGTATGCATTTTTCTCACCCACTTTCTCTGCTTTTCAGCCAGGGTTTGACTTACCGGGCCCAATACCAACTTTAATAATGTCTGCTCCAGAAAGAATAAGTTCCTCCACCATCTCTCCTGTCACCACATTACCTGCCTGAGACAGAGGAAACAGTATGACATGAGGGAATTCTTAAAGCCAAGTGTGGTAGAGAATAATAACAACACTATTAAGTTTTTGCTTCTCTCATACTAGGGGGTAAATATTAGGAAGCATAACATTTAATTTCACTTCTAAAGGAACAGCATTTCCATTAAAATATTACCAAAATATCCACTAAAATGCTTGTTGCATTGTGTACACCCAAGTTTCAAAGGAATCTTAGGGAATGTTCAGAATCTACACCAGGCCTAGACTACAATTTTGTTGCTGTCTTCTTGTTCAATAGTTGGCTGAACCAAAACCTGAAACATGAAAGATTTAGGCTTTTGGTGGGGGATGTCTGCAGCTCAAGCCCGTCTTTAAGTGAGGTGCCCTTCCCTCAAATTATACAAGAAAGCATTTGCCAAGTAAAAAACAGTGGAAGCAAAGAATGCTTCCTTTTCCCTTTGATAATCAATGCCCACAGAGAGAGACTCTCCTACATGGCAGTCTTGATCTCTACTTGTAAAGCACAATTAAAATTGCTTCATACTTCTATGCAGTATAGCACGCACAGAGAACTGTGGGTAAAGAAGCTACAGTTAAAAGATGACTTGAAGTCTAACTTTAGGATGGTGTGACCTACAGAATGGCTGTTTACAGCACTCGTCCCAGCAGTCGTGTAGTTTGTGAATATTTCTGCAGTGGTCCAACCATTTCACAAGCAATCTCAGGACCATTTCACCAGCATTAATGTTGAGTAAACACTTCTTCCTACTTTGGTTTATTGCCAAACAGTGTTTTGCCATAGCAAATATTACTGCTTATAGCTAACTGACACTGAAAATATCTGCATTTCTAACAAGAATCAATGATCAAGCAGAGAGGACCAAAACCTGCTGATTTGTTTTTCAAGACATAATTTTCCCCAAATTTCTGGCAATTACCAATTCTGGGAAAGAAGACAGAATGCCCTGGTGGGTCCTGTGAGGCAACTTTGGAAAGCAATAATTCTACCTGGGGCAACAGGACAGTTACCACCCTATAGCATATGATTAAATTGATGGGGTCAACCCATAACATGTGTGCCACAAGTGACATGAACAGCCACTTTGTCTGGCACATGACAAATCTGGCAGGGAGAACAGTGCAGATAAGGCAGGGAGGAGAGGAGAGCAATGGATTAGGAAAGGAGGAGAGAGTAGAGCAAAGGATCAGGAATGGGAAGGGGATTGTGATTGGAGTGGCACTTAGGTAGGGGACAGGGCTTACTTTGTGGCATACTGGCCAGAAATGTTCCCCCCGCTCTCCCCAAACTAGATGAAACCCTGCATCCTACCAGTGTCTCATTGACTTATAAAAGGCAAACCCTTCACATTGTTTGGTATAGAACAAGAACGGATGTACATGTCTGCATGCCTGGAAACTGCAAGCATACCCCACAAGGCAAAACCCCTGCATTAACCCTGCATTATTCCTTGCAGTTGCACCCAGATGGGTTGCTCACACTCAGAGGGATTTACATTGATGCTTTGTGAAATTAAATAATCCCCTTTGCTCACTTTAAATGAGGATTCTTCAGTACTGTGCAGTTGTTTGTGACAGCATCAATATGGGCAGAGCACGTGGAAAAATCCTAAAATATTTATTCAGTATTTACTCAGTCCTTATTCAAGCAAAACCCCAGCTGAACTCAATAGGAGTTGCCCAAAAACGGCTGGGTGATTTACTGATTTTGGCTCAAAACTCTTCATTTACTTTTTCACAATGTGCTGTAGTTCCCTTTTAATAAAATGAGAGGCTGGCAAGGCACCAGTTGAGGCACTTAAACCAGTAATAAAGTAGGCAGCAGACTGCGGTGTATAAAACTGGATCGTTAACCTTTTCTCAAAACTGCATGATATTGATTTTTTTTAAAAAATAATAACAACAATAATAAAAGACTGTCAGGAAAGAAAGGATTTCGAATTGGTTTAGCATTTTGAATAAAGTTCTGCTTCTTTCCTGTTGTGAAGCCTCTTGCTGTGCTGTACGTTATATGGGTCTTGCTGAGGCAGACGGAAGTGTAGCACTTACAAGATGCATCTCTAAAGCAGGCTGCCAGGTGTGCAGTGTAATATTTGGTATACGGTTTGACACTCTTTGATGCCAGAATACATTCAGTAAATCTGTAAGGCAGGGCAAACAGGACCTGGTCTAAAGCCCACTGAACCCAAGCTGGAATCTTTCCAAGATGGCTTATAAAAATTACTTGTCTTTGTCCAATCTGCAAAAGTAGTGAGCACAGCAGAGGTAACGCACCTGAGTTTTAGTAAAGAGTTGATACTCTCTCATAAAATCCGACCAGAAATATTAGTTCACATGGACTTAGGGGGACAATCAGGCTGTCTGAAAGCTCACTACAAGAGTGCCGACAAATTATAATTAATCAAGCTGGGAGGGGGTTTCTAGAAGATACCACCTCCTTTCTCTTCACGTTTTTCGCTTCTAATCTAGCACAAATGTCAGCTCACCACAGTTTCCCCGTGTACAAGATCAGCCAGAAACCACTTGAGCCATATCCAGTGCAACTATCCTGATAGCCATCATATGCTGAGCAGATCCTAAGAGAAATTCCATCTTTGTGGACAATTCAATCTCCAAATGCAGTCAGCAAATAAGGGGAGATGGTGTGAATGCCAAGGATGGGGAGAGGAACTATTCTGAGCAGTACAATGCAGTATGCTGAGGAATTTTGGAAGAAAAATTTTAAAAAGGGAAATTAAGGATGAACATCAGTAAAAATTTTCTTCTCTAAACATATATTGTGAAATAGCCTAATAAAAGCAGACTGCCCTAGCCTTCAAAACTCAACTAATGAATATGGACTAGGTTTCTCTCTCAGAGGAGCTGATCCTGCACTAATGCAGCCAGTCAGAGTTTTTAGGAGGAGCAGGCCTTGGCACCCTGATGTAAATGCAGTTGAAGAACAAAATACCATATCACTATTCAATTTCTATGGGGCAATGTGTGGCCTAACGTACTGGGTCCTAGGCCAGTGCCTATGTTGATGTATTATTAAGCTTCCCTCACTTGGCTTCATAGCTAATGCCCTGCTGAGATGAAGGGTGTATTGAACAGGGCTTACTCCCTGTGTCCTGGAGCTCAGGAAAACAGCATAGCCTTTGTTCACGTGTAGAAGCATAACTTTACAATCACAAAGGCAGAAACTTAGGGTTAGTCCTTCAGCTGGAGCAAATTAGAGTATATAGGCAGTCTGATTCTTGGGGGGAGGGGGGAACAACTTAGATAATGTAGAAATGTATGCCCACAAGTACCAGTTTGGCATATTCTGGTGATGATCTCAGCACCCCTGGTCTACCCACCTACCATGATGGTGTGACTTGGAAACTTGGCACGGACATTTTTCACAAATTCCACAAAGTGCTCCGAATAGCCATTGGCCACATCCAGGCAAATGTATTTGATCAGTGGAATGGCCTCTATGATACTTGTCAATCTCTCCAAGTCAGACTGTCCACTGCCTGAACTCACGGCTACATGCTGCAGAGGCAGAGAGAAGACAAAAGATCAGCAACTTTTACAGACAGTCCCAAGCACATACCTAGCTCATGAATCTGTTTCTATTCCTCCCATATAACACCCTAAAGAAACAAATACTGCAACTAGACAAAGCAATCAGTTGCCTGCAATTTGTTCATAGATTCATAGATGTTAGGGTCGGAAGGGACCTCAATAGATCATCGAGTCCGACCCCCTGCATAAGCAGGAAAGAGTGGGTAGGGGAGAGCACCACCTCCCTTGGGAGCCCGTTCCAGACCTTGGCCACTCTAACCACTCTGTTTAGACTCTTCAATACAGCAGTGTTGGTGTAAGCGCCATTTAAATGTAAACTCTCCTTAAATTAATTGTAGAGTACTTTAGTGAATAAGTGGACTTTATTATGGGGAACAAAGTGATGGATAAAAGCTGTACGTTGCCCAGATTATGAAAAACATAGGTTCCTTCACTTGCTTGTGTCTTTCTGGGAAAAAAGTGTTGCAAAAAACTGGGGGAGACTCAGAGTAAGGTTCAGGTCTGTCAGTTCATTAATCTTTCCTTAGTCTACCACAGTGAACAAGCATGCTCATGCCTCCCTCATCTGTCCTTATTATGTGTTCATTCCAACAGAAAATAGCTTCCACAGTTGTTGGCCACGGAGCCTCTGTGGGCATCCAAGGTCACAGAGCAAATCACCATCTAATGATTAAGGCCCCTATTTCAATGGTTACAGATCGTAAAATGTGTTTTTTGTGTCTACCTACCTAACCACTGGCTAAGCCCCAAGGTATTCAGATAAAAGATATTTCTCTGGGCTTAATATGGCTTACAAAAATACTGCTGAGATTAACTGGTAAACTGGCCTTCAGACAGTCCTCTCATCAATAATAATTACGATATGATTTAAAAATGAGGCACGGGTAATGAAATACCCCGTGCAGTCTCCCAAGAATAAAGAACAATGGTATGGTATTGATTTCCATGAAGAAATGACTTTTGTAACCCTGTCCGGGTAACCCTCTAGGGTAGCACAGAGTCAGTTCTCACAGCAAAATGACAAGAGGAAAAGCAAAAATAGTGGAACACTGAATAGCTACACAAACTGGGACTAAACCCCATGTGGTGATAAAGGGGCAGTTTTTGGATCAGTAACTTCAAAAAAAAAATAAAAATAAAAAAAATCACCTGTTCACCAATACTGTATATAAACCTTAAATAAAATACTATTCAGTACTGGTACATTGTAATCAAATTTACATAAAAGCTGTTAGATTGTTTACAAGCAATAATCAACAAATAAAATGAACTGTATACTTTTTATTTACACAACTGAAAATATAGTCTAACAAAAAAGCTTTTTAAATTATGTTGCTAACCAGGTTACTGGACCATGAACTGCAATTTGTTGATTATAATTCAAAACGAATGGAAGTAGAGATGTGAATGGCGAAGATTTAAAGTAGTCAGTGATCTTTTTTTTTTTTTGAAGCATACACCATTTAACAATGAGCAGCAACATGCGGCTGACTGCACAATGGATGTTTTGGTGTTCGATTGTAACACTACGGGCCCTCAAACAAAGTTTGGAAATTTGATGGGTAGAAAATTAGCTTTATAGTTTGATGTAATGCAGAATAATGAAGACAGTGTAGGAATAACAGTGCCTAAAGCCTCCTCTGACTGAGGATTATAGTGTGGCCCACAGTAGCAACCCTAGAGGCCTATAAGCTTTGGAGACATGCAAAATCTCAGCCTGGATTCAGATCCAAATTTAGTAAGTGACCTCTCCCTTCATAACAGGACCTCTCCCTTCATGACACCTAGAAACAGAAGTCCTACCTAGGACCTTGGACTTCTCCAACATCAGTTCTTCTTTAGGCTCCCCTCACTTCCTTCCTCTCCCCCACACCCATGCCAACACATCAGGAGGGCTATTCTGGTACACTGCATGTTCGTAAGAGACTTTTCCTTTTGTTCTTCATCTCCCTTTCCATTATAGGCAGATATAAATGTTACCCTCTAAATCTTAATATATGTACTATTGCAATGTTCTTCATAACACTGCTCTCTTTAATCAGGGCAAGCCACTTAGCAGAATGCATTTAAGATTAGCAAAAAGAAAAATCTTTATTCCTGGAAAAGGCACTTCAAAGCACTTTCCCAAGAAACCACAGCATAAGTTCCATTTAGAAAGAAGTCATTAATTGTAATAATTAACATTATACAAGTATACCTCAAGGCATTCTGGGTGATTGGCTGCAAACAATTTCCAGTCTTCTAGAGAATAATGCTTGTGGATAGCAGTAAACATTGAATGCTGGAAAACATTAAGCAAACCTTTAGCAATGTCCAAGTTCATTGGCCTTCCCTCCTCAATATTTCTGTCAACCCACAAGTTATGTCTATGACACTGACTCTTTAGCCCAGGGGAAGGCAATTACTTTTGACGGAGGGCCACTTACCGAGTTTTGGCAAGCTGTCGAGGGCCACATGGGTACCTCCACCCCTTGACAGGTGCACTGCCCCCTGGGCATGGAAGTCCCACCCCCTAATCCCTGACCTTTGCCACCAGAAGTCCCTCCCCTTGCCCCCCAGAAATACTCCTTTCAGAAAGGGGTTTTGCCATCTCAGAACCAGAAAAATACCAAATTATATTCTAAAAAGTGATCATCTACAACATTCATTGATTTGATATTAAAAATATTTTTGTCCTAGTTTACATGTGTTTGTGTAGTGTACGCAGAGGTGACTGCACAATAGCTTAAAATGAAGCCTTATTCTTGTATATTGTAGGGGGTGGGTATAGATTTGTGGGGGCTGTGGGTGTGGGTGGGTGTGTGGATAGGTATAGGGCAGGGGTGGGCAAAATGTAGCCCGCGGGCCAGATGTGGCCAACCAGGCCATTCTATCCAGCACACGGGTCCCCTTGAAAATTTAGAAAATAGATATTTATCTACCCCTGGCTGCCCTCGATGGGTTGCCAAAACTCAGTAAGCGGCCCTCTGCCTGAAATAATTGCCCACCCCTAGTATAGGGGGTGTGAGGTGAGGGAGCATGTGGATGTGTGTGGGGATATGGGCTTTGTGGGAGACTGTGTGTGTGGGAGCATGGCTGGGGTGTGTGGGTGTGGGGGTCTGCGTGTACGGCAGTGCGAGGGGGGTGTGGGTGCATGTGTATGGCGGGGTGTGCATGTGAGACTCACCCTATGAACACATACACACACCCTCCCTTCCTCCCTCCCTCCACACCCCCATCCACCCACATCCCCACCCACACCTTCCCTCCCTCCCTCTCACACACACACTCTCTCTCTCTCCCCCCTCCCCACACACACACACACACACACACACACACACACACACACACACACACACACATATATATATACAAACTCTTCCTCCCTCCCTCCACACCCACACCAAGCCCATTGAAGACAAAGCCATATTTTTTTTACCATTGCATTCTAGATTTTACAACTATGGTAGAAACAAGCAACTGTGTTTTTGCATCATAGCCCTTTACCAAACAAGTGGCTTCCCAGGTTTTGCAGGAAAAGAGGGGAGTCAATACTTACTTTAGTCATAACCTCTGCCATCTCAAACGTGCCCACAGTGTCCATGTTCGCCACGATAATGGGGATCCCGGTATAGCTTTGCTTAGAGTTGCGGAATGTGAAGGAACGCATGAGATCTACCTGCGAGGGTGGGCACAAAGTCTTGTGAGCACTTTACACAAATGGGGTCTCCCCCCAAGCTGTCACAGTAGGCATTCTCCCTCTGATTTCAATGGGGCAGAAACAGTGGAACCTGCTTCTTTTGTGGCAATGCTAGAAAGAGAAAGCTCCATGACCTCTGAGGGGGAAGCTCAGAAGGGAAAAGGAGATGAGGTATGAAGTAAGGAAGAAGTCAACAAGTGAGGTAGAATGAATTGGATAGGTGGGTAGGAGCTGATAGGATAGGGAAGGAAGGGTTGAGCTGATTTTGAATTATTTCATAATTGGGTAAGCACTCACCAGTTTGTTGCCTCTTAAGCTCAACAGTGAATTTCCACTGAAGTCTGATAAAATTTCCACCGAATTCTGTAGGATAAGGATTTCACTCTGTATTCTAAATTTAAAACATCAGCAAAACAACTTGAAGGTAGTTCCTGTGAACTCAGGGATTGTCTTTTGGTTATCTATTGGCACACAATTATAGGGATCTGGCCCTGCGCATGTCCAACAACAGAAGTAATAAATAATAATAATGTTATCCTGGGCCAATAAACTACAAAGCTTTTGGATTCTCAGTTTATTTTTTGTAAGTGCACTGACCTTCAGCTCTACAATGTATTCAGCCTAACATACTATCATTACTTCTGAAACACGAAGCAACCTCAAGGAATTGTGATGACGACATACTTCTTTTTGAAAAGTTGTGGTATCAAAATTTAGATCAGTTCCACTAGACTTGCTAAGCTAGAGCCTATTTTTTTACTACAGAAAAAGAATAGAGCAATTTTTCTGTTGCAAAGACCTCAGGAAGATCACAGAAGGGCAGAATGCATTTAACACTATGCATTTCTATTTGACATTTCTGGGTTTATCTTGTGAATCATATTTGCAAACGTAATAGTGCTAACAGTGCGTGGTACCCCGCGAGTCCCCTGAAAGGAACTCAAGGCACACCAGGATGTTGCAGCAACCCGGGACGAGACTTTATGTGCTAAGCATTCCCGAATAGCAAAATCCAACCCAGTATTTTAGATGTGTTATTAAGTATCCCATCACATATTGAAGTTCTTTTATAAAGGTCTACATTTTCCATTCTTCAGCCTTCACCTCAGGGACAGCTGAAAGACCTGAACCATCCAGGAATGTCTATATCTGGAAGCACCATAAAAATAGCTGACTGACTGTTTACAAAGTGGTTCAAGCTTATGCTAGGGGTAATCAAACTTTCCTGCATTGCGACGCAGGTTATTGTTACTGTTGTTGTTGTCGGCATTAGTAGTACATTAAATGTTTATCTTCAATCTCCATGATAAATCATGAGATCCGCTGGCTCTGCATCTGCACTCTCATGTTACTGGTTTACCTAAGGCACTGTACACTGAAAACATCATCATACAGACACATGGGAAGAAACCAGTCATGGGAATTAACTAGTTAATTAACTAGTTAAAAAGTTAAAGAAATGGCTAACTTTTAACTTTAACTAGTTACATTTTTCAGCTGTCAACTTTTAACTTTAACTAGTTAAAAAAAAAAGATTATACTTTAAAAAAAATTAAAGTTAAGTTAAAAAAAAATTGAAATCCAGCTTTCCCAGAGTTTTTCCTGACACAGCCACTCTGTAAGACTTACATGGAACGATATTTCTTGACTGACACTCTAGGACTTCTTGTTTAAGAGAGAGAGAGCAGTATGCCTTCCTATGAGATATGGTCTCTTGAGAACTACAAGTCCCAGAGTTCCTTAGTTCAGGCTGACAAGGTTCCTTGGGTGAAGGTTCCTGATCTCTAGTATCCAGCAGGTTCAGGCTGGCATTTCTGTGCATTTGCAGAAGTCAACAGGGCAGCCAGTTGGCTGCAGGAGGAGGAACAAGCACAAGAAAGCAGAGCCACGGATCCCAGTAGGAGTGGGAACAAGCAGTGAGGGTGAAGCAGATGATGACTTTTTTACTTTTAATGAAGATCAGAACCAGCAGCCCAGGGCCCCAAAAGTTAAGCATTACTTCTCATCTGTGAGAAACTTATCTGAGATGTCACCTACTATGAAAAAAACCTATTCATCCATTATAACACAACCATCCCCTCATCTGCCCATGTACAGCAACTGTTCAGTAGTGGGGGCTTAGTTTTGCAACACAGAAGAGGAAAAGAGTCAGATGTAAATTTTGAAATGCAGCTTTTGCTGAAGTTGAATGAGCATGTGTGAACAGTTTCTGCTATGCAACTTTCTTTTTCTCATTTAAACTGATTTTCTCATTTCAGTCTAATTTTGATTTTTAGACAGTTCCATTATTTCTAATTCAGATGCATTTCATACCCTCTTTTTACCTTTTGAGCAATAAAAATTGTAACAACAGAGGTTTTCTGTGGAAACAGCTTCCACCTGTCACCCGACTATGAATATCTCCTTTCTGTTATTCTGGTATACCTGTATGACGCATTGACTTTTACAAAGTTCTTCACATGGAGAGGGTGAGAAGGATCTAACATTACATAGATATTGGTAAGTTGTTATTCTGAAAACTGTATGACAAGTATAACATTGTTTTCAGGTAAAGCAGGCTGAGTTTCAAGTAAATTAGTGTGCTTCTGTGGGCTTATGGAAAAGAAATCCACTCACTGCATTTGAAAATGAAAAATGATGCCAAGAGGCATTTCGCAGTGTTTCACACATTTCTCACAAATCAACTTAACTTTTAACTAGTTACTCTCTTTATAACTTACCTTTTAACTAGTTGAAATTTGAAATATTTAATTTTTAACTTGTTAATTTTAAAGGCTGCTAACTTTTAACTTTAACTAGTTACATTTTTCATATACTTTTCCCATGACTGGAAGAAACCTATAGAGAAATTCCAGCAGGACTCTAATCACTTCCACCAAACTGGCTCTCAAATACTCCACCCAACAAATTCATTTTTTGGACACCACTGTGAAACTGTGTGTGCATGTGCCTCCTAGATTTATGCATGGGGCAGAGACAGATTGGGCTGCCCGCTGCGGCCTCAGGGCTCCCCGCCCTGCTGCCCTCTCCCCAATCCCAAAACTGTAGCCACTCAAATTAATAGAGCCAGATTTAGGCCCCAACTCAGACCTGCTACAACACTAACACTGTGACAAGGACAAAAGAATCCTCTTGTCACCTACAGCTTGAACACCTTGAAGACGTCATTAATGACCTCCAAACTGTAAAATTACAACCATCTCAAGGCAGCCTTGGGGGACAAGCTGGTTCTAGCCTACAGGTAGCCCTCCTAACCTCAAACAACACCTCTCTAGTAACAAACTACTTAGTTCCTTTTCTCAACAAGTTGCTAAGCCTTGCTACAGATCCAGATACTAGGTGCGCCCCCTCATTGACACAGATCACGTCATCACTGAATGAAGCAACATGGTTTATAACATCCAGTCACCTGCTTCTCTACCCACGTCATATATGCCATCGCCTGCTTACAACAGCCATCTGCTGTCTACACTGGAAAGCAGGGCAGTCCCTGTGTGAAAGAATGAATGGACACTGATTTGACATCAATTTCAGAAAGACCCAAAAGCCCAAGGCAAAACACTTGACCTTCCCTGGACATACATACCATCACTGACCTCAGAGTAGCTATTCTTACAACAAAACTTTGAAAACCAGTTTGAATATGAAAGTGCAGAACAGAAATCATCCACAGACTGGATTATCATCTCAACAGAGACTCTTGATTCTTATTGCCTGAATTATCTTTCATAACCTCTGTGTCCATCAGTGAGTTCACTGCTTTGTTTATCCCTTTTGCAGCGCACCTTCACCTTCCTCAACAATGCTCCCTCTCCAATCCCCCTGCAACCTTCCCCATTCTCCTTTCCCTATCCTTTGCATTTAAATGCCTTTGTTCCTTTCTATTTAGCTTCTGTGCTCTCTGCAAATTCATTCATAGCACCTGACAAAATAGGTGGTAGTTTTGGAAAGCTCATGCCTCCCTGAATGAGTCAGTCCAAGGGTGTCAAAGATACGGCCTGTCAGCTGGATCTGGCCTGCAGAGCTCTATCATCCAGCCTGCAGTGCTGTCAGCAGGTCTTGGACAGGACATGTACACCACATGCAGCACATGCCAGACTGGCCTCGCATGCTGCATACAGCGTGCAGGGTGAGATCTGGCATGTGTACTGCAAACAGTATACGGGGCCAGGAACAGGACACAGGCTGCAGACAGTGACCGCACTGAACCAGTCCTATGTGCAGGGTCTGGTGTACAGGGCTAGTCTGCAGGACTGATCTGGCCCAGAGACTGGCCCCGCACTATTCTTCCAGCTTGCAAACAATTCCTGTTCCATTCCTCCAGTCTGCAGGGCCTGATGAGTTTGACACCCCTGAGTTAGTCTATGAAGTGCCACCCTGCATCGATTTATTGTTACCATTCTAAAGTCATTGGCAACTTGGACTTAGTTAGACCCATACTTAGCTAAATCCACAAGATCCATTTTAATGGTGTTCCCCTGAGAACCTGGATGGTGGAGGTGAAAAAAATTAAATGTATTAGTTTATATTATACTCTTATTAGACTACTATTACTACTACAGCAGACTGAATCTGTGAAAGATTTGCTTATTATTATTTGTACTACACTAACATGTAGGTGCCAGTCATGGATCATAAATCAGGGCTTTATTCTGCACAAACACATAACAAATGGCACATCTACATGTCGCCATGCAGCGATGTTGCTGCGGCGCCATGGTTTAGTACTTCCTTTTAGAAGTACCAAAGTACAGAACAGTAATTGCCTGTACTATGCCATGCGCGCAGCGCATGGTTAGATTTTGCTGCTATGTCGCCATAGCAGCACACTAAAACGGGGAAGCATGCCGCTACGGTGACGTAGCTGTCAAGCACGTGTAGACTCACGTGATTGCTATATCGCTATAGGATGACATGTAGACGCACCCAAAGAGAAGGTCTTATTCTTGAAGACTTAACAATATAACTGCGAGCATACATCTGAATAGAAGGGTTGCATGCCTTCCCATTTATAATCATGTATATTGATTTCTTCTCCTTTTAAGCAGCCTATGACATTCTCATGACAATTTCAGCCACTGCCCACAGGGAAAAGTAGCATCCGGAAAGCATTTAACAAATTTTAGCTACTTTTAATGCAGTTTAGTAATTGGAACCAAAAAAGAGACAGCATCACCTGACCAGCCAGCTCTGCATGGACCTCAGTTTAAGAATCACTAATTTAAACAATTATAAGTTTAAAAAACTGCCATTTAAATGAAGTTGAAGAAGAAAGGAATGCATATACGAAGAAAACAAAGAGACAAGCTAAGATGTGACCCCCGTGTCAGAACCACAAGACCAGGTTACCAGGGAGCCTCACATCCACATATTATTGCGTCTGAAATGACCTACTATAGCCAGGTAGGTGGTGCCCATCATGCTCCTATTACTGTGGATATTCAGGGTCATGAGTATGCATACTACTGCCAGGGCAGCCATTTTGTGTGGTATAATTGCAGTGTCTCTGTCAATGAAACTCTTGGTCTGTGTATCCAGAGAAAGAAATTCAGACTACAGGGTTTATTAACAGAGACTCTTGTACCATGGGGAAGCTGGTTTAGAAAAATAAATAAATCTATTCTGTACTAAGCCTGCTGTTTACCCTCCTTTTGGAGAAATCAGTTTTGTTATTCTGGTAAGTGAAGGAGTTGCACTCAGCCTAATGCTGCCCGCAAGCCTTTGTTAAATTAACTATTTTAAATGAATGGCGCGTCTTTCTGAAAGGCACTCAGCTGAGAAGTCCCCAGGACCAATCTAACACTGTAAGGTTCGCAGGTCTGCCTGCTAACAGGGTTTCAACCTGAACCTGGTGGTGACTTCCTGCAAAAGCCTAGCAGGTTCCTGGCTTTGCTGGGGAGAGTACCAACAACCATATGTCCACCTGCCCAATACTTTTCATACCAAGAATATTAGCAATATTCAAATTTAGACAAATCTCCTTCATTGTATTTTATAATGTCTGAAGTACTCAGAAAAAAGTAATCAGAGTATATACAATAATGCAGTTAGTACTACCTAATCCTAAACCTTAGTCCAGGTGGAAAAGAAGAAGCATCGTTTAAAGCAGGAATTTACAACCAGGTGCCATAGCGCACTGCGGTGCAATGAGATTTTTTAGGGGTGCCTTAAAATGCCACGCAATGTTACCATGCGATTCACAGTTTAAACCCAGAGATTTCCAATTAAAATCCCTAGCTTCAAAAGCATTCCGACTGCCTGTGGTCTTTCAGACTTCTTTGCAACAAGAGAATTGCTCTAGTATTTTTCCATTGTCAATAATACAACGAAAGCTAAGAAATGGCATTTTTCAAGGGGTGCCCAGAGTCCAGCAACAGGTGCTTTGAATTTAAGGTTGAGAACCACCAGGTAGAGCAAACTGTGCACTTAAACAGACAGCAGGTTTGGGGCTCTCTCCCTCTTGCACATCAGATAATGTGGAAAGGGAAAAGAGTGAAATACCTTTATCCTGTACACACTGGGCTAAGAGAATCCACTGGTCCTATACACCACTGACTCAGCCCCCCACAGAAGTGACCAGGAGGAAAGAAAGCATCTCCCTCAATTGTGTTGTCTGTTCCGGAGCGGCAATGGTTGAAGTGGCAGAAGTACCATAGCTAAGCTGGGTCTAAATGACTACTAACCCCAAGTAGTCCCACATTATGTCCAAATGCTGAATGGTGAGACCCTGCCTCATGTGCACCTAGTAAATGGATTCACTGCAGGTAGGACACCCATAGCATCTAAGTTATCTATACTTCTGGTCACTCCCAATGAGTGTGTAAACCTATGCTTCCTTCCATAGACAACTGACTGTATTCTAGCAATTCCCAGCTCAAAGCATCACCCCTGCCCTTTCCCTCCCATGCAACCTTTTTTCAAAATCTAAATTCAAATTTCTTCAGATTTGGTTCCCTCTGCAAAAAGAGAGTAAGCCAAGGAAGTAAAGCCAAGGCAAGAGCCAGTGACACCATCTGATGAAGTGAGCTCAGGCTTACAAGCAGATAGGCCACCGCAAAGGTGACTTGCTCATTGCGTTTAGGTAAAATGCCATCTCTGTACAGAGTAAGACATTTGAAATGCCTAGCCAGGCACTGCTGATATAAACTTCCAAGCACCAGCTCCCAGCAGCTATAAGCTACTTGTAGTAGCAGCCTCTGTTGCCTTCCCATAACTATTTATATGCTTGTTTTAAAGCTGGGCTAAGACTGTCCATTTCAAATTTGGCTCATGCAGGCAGGCACTGTTTATTCCTGTTGCTACAGCCTCAGTGATGGTGTCCAGTTTCTTAACCTTCTTCAACTTTAATTTAGCCCTTATGACTTGCACTTCTCTCATGCAAAATGCTTTCACCAGTCCATCATACACCCCTAAGACAACCTTCCTTAACCTTCCTTTACCAGCAAAAGTTCCTATCTTTTTCCCTTCTGAACAGCCCTTTCCTTCCATGGCACGTGAACAGGTAAGATACAGCTACCTGAATTGCCCTCAAAAAGGGGCCCACCAGCACTTCACTTCGCAGACCAGGGCTCCAACCGTTTGTCAGGCTGGTGCATTTGATTTTTTTTTCATAAAACCTACATACTTCTTAAATGAACTATTGAAAATGGCTAAAAGTGTTCCTTACTTGTGGGTTAATCCCTGCAATGGAAGTGAAAGTGAAAAGGAGTGTCCTATACCCACAGTGATGCTCAGGTATCTGGACTCTTGCTTTATACTTTCATTCCTATTAGCAAAATGTTTTCTGCTGCCAGAGACTGACTTCTGCAACCATTAGTCCTAGCCACAGGCTCATAATTTTGTTCATGTTCTCTGTCAGTCTTGCTACTTAACCCCATTCTTCCCACCATCTCCTCCCTAGACCTCCTTCACCCCTGGAGCAAAGCTTCCTCCCCCTCCCTTACCTACCACAATGTACTTCATGAACCCCATGGCATTTAAAGAGTGAAGGAAAGTGGGTAGGAGGGGGTCAGAAGCAGAGGCAGTTGGCTGTGAGGACAGGTGGATGCACAGCTCTGTGGGTCTTCTCCTCACTACTGCTCCAAGTTACTTGGTGCATCTACATGAGACGCTTACTAATAGTAGCCTAATAACACTGCACAGTAGTGTGCCGGGCCACTACTCCATGCCAATAAGCTACTGTGCAGTGTTATTAGACTACTGTGCAGTAAGCATCACTAAAAACCTGTGCGCCACCATTACTGTGCAGTGGTGTGCATTACTGCACATTTATTTAGTACTTGGTTATCCAAGTATTAAACTTAATGCGCATTAATGAACGTGTAGATGTGCCCACTGAGAACTAGCCAAACAGTGAGGATGGAAAGACCTGGCTAGACAAAGCCCAGGCTGGGAAGATATTGCTGGAGACGGTGCTGCTCTAAGCAGGGGGTTGGACTAGTAGACCTCCACCGGGCCCTTCCAAACCTCATTTCCTATGAGCCTATGAACTGTCCCTGCCTGACTCAGAACAGCCCTTGGCCAATCAAAACCACTCGAGCTGCATAACCTGCAGGGATTCGGGAACTAACTCTGCTCATGCAGATCAGGAGGGCCAGAACTAATCAGGTGGCAGGGATTTACATAATGGAGGGATAAACCACCAGTCCTGGGCTGCCCCCGCCCCCAGGATGGCTCTGTTGCCGCTTGCTCAGGCACAGGGACCTCGAGAGCCGGCCTGGCGTTTCTCAGTTTAAAAAGCAAGGCAGGAAGCACTGCCCACAGAGCTGACTGCCACAGGCCGCGCACCTGTCTCGTGCCAGAATCAGCTGCAGGCCTGCGCGCTGGCATGCACAGCGTGTCCTTGAAAAGCTCCCTGGGAAAGAGAGGGGACATGCCACTGCTTTGCCGAGGTCCTTCCCAGGGCTAGGGGGGGCGGGGAGAGCCAGTGCCCCAAGGTCACCTTGTCCCCGTCCCCCTCCCCCACCCAGGTCCTTTGCAGCACAGCCAGCTCCTACCACCTCCCCCTGGACTGCAAATGGGGGTGGGGGTAGGGGGGTTCAATGGAAATCAAAACAAGAGGGGGAAGGGAAGGGAAGAGAAGGGGGAAAGCATGCTTGATCCGAGTGCCCCCACCTCTGATCGGCTTTTGAGGCTGCTTCTCTTGGGTCTGAGCAGGACATCTTTAAAGTCCAGCTTGAGATCTGCGTCTACACGGGGCATCTCGCCGAATCGGGAGCGGGAGCGGCCTCTCTGGCGTGTCGCTGCCGCTGATCGCCTGGCGCAGGGCGGGGGCAGCCAAAGCGCGGCCGCCCGGCGGGGAGCGGCTTTATAGGGCGCGCGGGGCCGGCAGCGGCGTCCCGGCTCCGTGGCTTTATTAGGAGGCGGCTGTTTTTAGCTCGGAGCAGAGTAAAGCGCCGCCCGCCCGCGCTATCGGCGCCGCTCACCTCAGCTCAGCTCAGCTCAGCTGGCGCGCACGCGTGTATGTGTGTGTGTGTGTGTGTGTGTGTGCGCGCGCGCGCGCCGGCAGCGGCAGGGCGCGGGAACGGGCCCGGCCCGGCCCTCCTCCTCCATCGGTGTCAGCAGCATGGGGGCGACCACCCGCGGGCACTGCCGGCGGCACGTCTTTGGGGTGCACCGCCACTCTCGGGGTGCGCGCGCGTGCGGGGACCCCTACGCTCGCCAATGGCAATGGTGGTCACCACGGCGCCTTCCTTGTGGCTCCCAGGGATGACGGCTCTGCTGGCACGGGATAGTACCCGCAGTGCTAATGCACAGTTAACCTTGGCTTTATGCCCACGTTATGGGAAGGGGAGACTCTTCCCTAGCTTCCTCCCTTATGGCCCAGGGCAAGCGAAACTCGGGGGCATCCGAGCCCCAAGCCTCCGGGCTTGGGCCTGCACGTAGGATGCCCGCCAAAGGGTTTGGAGCCATTGGAAGTCCCAGGTGGGGATGGAGGATGTCTGCCGGTAGTCGGGCCACTAATGGCTCTGGACTGACTCGCAGGTTTGGAATTGATTTGGCCAACTTGGCTTGGAATACGGAAAATTAAAAAAAAAATCTTTAAAGGAGAAAAATGTGGAGGCTGGCAGAGCGGCTGCTTGGGGCCTCCCATGCCCCACACACTGGGGGTGCAGTGGGTTGGAAGTAGGGTTGCCAACTATTTGAAGCTATTCCCGGAGGTTTCATCATATGACATAATGACATTTATGCCTTTGTGTCAAGATGGCACATGCACATTACTGTGACATTTTCGAAACCTACTGGACTACTGTATAAATGTGGTAAAACATTTAAATGACAAGGCATTCATTAAAATAAATATTATCTCCCAGGTGACTCTTGGCAGTCTCCTGGAGATTTATATCTAATTCCTGGAGTCTCCAGGGCAATCCTGGAGGGCTGGCAACCCTAGCTGGAAGTGAGGGGTACCAGGTCAGGGCCGACTGGCCACTGATATGAAAAAGGTTGAGCGCCGCTGATCTAGTCCAACCTCCCAAAGCAGGACCAGCCCCAAATACCTCATCCCAGCCTCCCCTCAGGGACCTTAAAAACCTCCCAAGGATGGAGATTTTACAACCGGAGTAGCCTGTTCCGGCACTTCACTACCCTCCTAGTGAGAGAGTTTTTCCTAATATCTAACCTAAACTTCCCTTGTGCAATTTAAGACTATTGCTCTTTGCTCTGTCTGCCCCATTGAGAACAGTCTAGCTCCATCCTCTTTGGGACCACCCTTCAGGCCACTGTGGAGGCTGTGTTAAATCCCCTTATTTAGTCTCCAGATTAAATAAACCCAGTTCCCTCAGCCTCTTCTCGTAAGTCATGCTCTCCAGCCCCCTAACTATTTTTGTTGCCCTCTGTTGGACTCTCTTCAACCTGTTCACATCCCTTCTGCAGTGGTGGGCTCAAAACTGGGCACACTACTCCAGATGTGGCCTCACTAGTGCCAAATAAAGGGAAATAATCACTTCCCTCAATCTGCCGGCAATACTCCTACTAGTTTTCTCTCCTCTCTTTTTCCTCAGCCTATTTGGTCCAGGTTTGGGGCAAACTATGACCCTTGTCATTAACCTGTAACCTCACTCCCTTCCCTATTTTCTCTTTTATTTGTCCCGAGGAATCAGTTGATGTTCCTGTAGTGGCCTCTCTTACTAAGGGAGGCTTATAGGTTCCTGGTGGGCATTGGCCCAGTCTCCCTTGGGCACATCAAATAAGCCTGCGTCCTCTGAAGGCCTTTGGACAGGAAAGTGACTCCAACATGGTCCAGGCAGGTGCTTTCAGAGCAAGTGTCTGAGATGCTTTGTTGCTTGTAGTGTGTAAAAGGGCACAATGTGTATATTATTGCAGGCTTTTACCCTTGATTATGTGGTAACTTCAATTATGTGCTGATGGTAGGAGACTGGACCCTGGGTCTCAGGTGGTCCCTCCCAATTCAGGCATAGCCTTGAATGTGGGGCCTTGGCCTGCCTGGCACATTCACTCACCCCAGTCTACCACCTCGTCAGCTGAGCATTTGGGTGAATATAAATGATCACAATTCAATAACTGGGACTAGGTAGCAGCCCACTACCTGCAACCAGAGTGGCTAGCCAGGATCAGATGACCTTTTACCTCTTCCTATAGAAAACCCTGAGCCAGAAGAGGAAATGTCTGGGTAATAAGGCTCATCTTGTACCCAGGCTGTCTCAGCCTCAGCTTGTACCACTACTGACTGATGGATTCTCTGGCTACATGACCTGGCTTGCCCATGGACCCTGAGTTTGGCCTGACCTTTTGGTTCCCTAACCCAGCTCTGGTTTGATCTCCAAGATACCCAGTCTGGCTAGCCTTCTGACCCTGTGCTCTGTATCTCTGACTTGGTTCCCCAGCTGGATCGTCAAGCTTCTTGGCTCCCCTACACTTGGACCTTGCATACTCCTTTTGGTCCTTGGTTGCTTCTTCTGACCCTGGGTGACCACCAGATGTGGTGGCCCATAACCTGTCATGACACTGTTCTTCTGCAGCAAATAGAAAGGAATGATCTTTCTACCAGGTGCACAGAGCCTACTTGGGCCCTGTTACGAAAGTGGTCAACACAAGCCAAATTTCTGTACTTGAAACCCTGTAAAATGCTGGGAAATTCCAGTCCAGATCTCAGATCTGAACTGTGTAGACAGTCCTTCTGTCTCTAGAAAGAGCTAACCTAAAACTACTTGTGCTTCCCTGTGCTGTGGTGATGGTCAGGTAAAGATCAGAGTTCTGCATCTTAAGCCCATCTCTAGACTGGATCTGTCATTCCTGTGTGACAGGGGACCTGATGATGAGCACAGTGTAGGGATTCTTATGCAAAGATAGGTATTTATTGGGACATAACCCTGTGGTCATAGAGCAGAAATGAAGATGAATGCAGCTGGTGTAGCAGTGACATTGTAAGTTATTAGAGTTTCCCTTGTACAATGAAATCTGAATTTGGTGAATACAAGGTAATTTAGGGAGGGTATTTTTGGCCATGACGAATCTCATTAAAGCTGAAACTTGACTGACTTCTTTATATTTTAATTATGTATTTAATTAATTTATCTATCTTAAATAATTTTATTTTTATTCATATATGTTATTTAAGGAGCTGTTGTACTCTGTGCTCCAGCTACTTTCCTGATGAACCTAGGAACTGCAGTTGGACCCAGTGCTAGGGTGCAATTCTGTATTGTATGAGAGAGCACTCTAGTTAATCATAATGGTGCAATTCTGTGTTGTACATGAACTTATTTTAGATAAGTGAAATGGTATCATCTTCCCTTCAGATTTTTAGAGTTTTCAACTCTATAAATTACTAAAATTTATAGAGTTTTGCCTTTGACTTCAGTGGGAGCAGGGAGATGGGAACTGGAGCATGGGATTCATTACTGGCTTCTATTTCCATGCAGAGAGCAGATATGCTGCAGAGCCACTTAAGCACTTTCCTCTTTATCTGTCAGCTGCACACAGTCTACCAAACACCCCACCCTCAGCAAGGCTCACTTGGCACAGTTGCTAATACCTCCCAAATGAGTTGGTCCAGGGAAAGTGCACTGGGGCCCTTACACCCCCATTTGATTCCTGCTCCACCCAAAATTTAAAACCAACTGCCTGGCAATGGCAGCAGCATTTCTAATCAGGAAATGCTAAGGGAATCACTAGACTTAATAACTCCTTATAATATACCTGATTCCTTAAACTTTTAATTCCACAGGTGTTATTGACCCTCTCTTCTTTGTAATGGTCTTGATATTCCACTAATCAAGGTATCCTTTGTTCTGCAATGCTGCTGTCTGTTAGCTGCTCCTGGTAATGAAACTCCTGTCACACAGACCTGCAGATTGTTTGGGGGGGGGGTTTAACTCTTTCCAATGAAGTTATATCTGTTTTTGCTTCAGTCTTAAACTGAATAATACAGCCTAGGTCCCTAGATATTAGCAAAGCTTCTAGTTTATTTTTAACTGGAGAAAAATATACGTTGTTTTACATGTGATGATGCGCCTCACTATCTGCACTCCCATTTTCAAAATTCTTGATCCACCCATGCTTCCAGATAATTCAATATGGCTAAGGACAAGGGGCCCACATTTTCAAAATGGGCAGTCATGTCAGGTGCTCCCATACTTGCAAGTCCAAGTGGAGAAATGCAGAGCTCAGTTTTTCCAAGGGGCTGAACACCCATCATTCTATTTGAAGTTCAGTAGGATCTGGAGTTGCTCAGCATCTCTGGCAATCGGATCTAGAAATGTTAAGGGGAGAAAGAACCATGGAAATCCTAGTAACACACCCCAGAAGGGCTCACCCAGTAATTCCTACACTCTCCAACATGAAACAGTACCTGTTAGAGAAGCATCTAATCTTGATTTAAAGACTTCACATGATGGAGAATCTGCAGCTTATCCCTTTGTGCTCTGATCCAGGGATTAATGCTGCTATTTCTGTTTTGGATCATTCTGGCTTCTATTCTCATACATTAAGGGCATGTCTACATGAGATGCTTAATGTGCAGTAGGTTAATTCTACTGCACGTTAGTGCGTCACAGCAAAAACTGTGCTAACACGCTGATATGCAGGAGAATTACTCTATTGCGCAGTAAGCATCACGAAAAGACTATGTGCCAGTGCTATGGCACATTAGCATCAGCTACTGCGCATTTATATAGTAACTCAGAGGTACTAAACTTAATGCGCTATAGCAACGGCGCATTAATGCACGTGTAGGTGCACTTTAGGTCTTGTTATACTTTTTTTCCCTCTAGATTATAGAACCCTCTAATACCAAATATTTTCACTGTAATTTCTTAAGAGCTAGGCTGCCATCAGGTCAGTGTTTAATCTTCTCTCTGAAAAGCTAAATAGCCTGAGATCCTTCTGCTTCACATTTTTCCAAAACTGAGATTATTCTCCCAAACTGTCTCCCATTCATTAAAGTCCTTTCTGAAGCACAGACAGCAGAATGGGACAACATTCCGTTTGTGGTCTTACTAA